TCCACCTTGGTGCATGTCACTCACTGCAAAAAGGTAAACCCAGTTACACCTGACGAACAAACACAGAGTTAGGAGAAAGAACCGATCACCACTAGGGCTCGGGGGTTGGCTCCTTAATGAAGATTCCCTTACCCTGTCTGATCATCCCTGTGTGAGTTCGATAGAAGGTAAAGCAATGGGTTGGCCTCTGGCGTCTGACATGTTCTCAGGGCGAGGGTGGGGATTCACAGGTCTCCTGACGGTAGGTAGCTGTCTGATTGTGGGGGCCATATTCCTAACACACTCAAACCCTCCTGATCCGCCAGAAGTAGTAGTTAACCTAACAACAAGTTGATAAAATAATAACTTAACACAGTCTATGAAGGCATAGGAGACAACTAGACGTAGGGAAAGGGGAAGTACTAGGGACTGTAGGGAAGGACATCACCATATGTATGTCACCATGTATATCCTGGGACTATGTAGTTGCTCATACCAAGTGGGGGGGATATGTCAATCTCCATACACAGTTTAAGGACAGGTGTAGTATTGTGAAAGTAGGGAATTACCAGAAATGGCAGTGCGACCCATATAAGGGTAGGTACTGTCTGAAAGTCTGAATTACGCTAAAACAGGTTACAGACCTGAACAAGTGAGATATCCTCTTCAACTGGGGCACCCTATATTGTAAACCTCTCTGAGGGAGGTAGTCAGACCGGGGCTGTGGTGAAGGAGTCTTGTAGTAACTTGCACTATCTGTATCCCCCGATAACAAAGTCACCCTGACCTAGGTTGCCTCCGTTTGAAGTCTCAGGGGATTCTTATTGTTTTTCTAGGACTAGTAAGATAGGATACAGGGTTGGGCATCTTAGCTCCTGCTCCCACACAGAGAATGTCACAACTAAAGAGACCATTACTAATCTCTCCTCTTTGTTGCAGCCAGAGGATTTTAGGAACCAAAACCAGGCCCGTGCTGACATCTGATGGTTGTGTGGTGATAACAGATTGTGAACTCACCTACATACGCAAACAATCAAACGTGTCAGAGACTGGTGAGCTGTCACGTAGAAAGTGGGACCTCCTCCCAGGATCCTTTGATGAAAGGATATATATTGATGCGATAGGAGTACCTCGAGGGGTTCCAGAAGAATTCAAAGCTAGGAATCAGATCGCAGCTGGGTTTGAATCAAGTATTTTCTGGTGGTCAACAATTAATAAAAGCGTAGGTTGGATAAATTATATGTACTATAACCAGCAAAGATTTATAAACCACACTCGTGATGCAATAAAGGGATTAGCTGAGCAGACAGCGGCAACCAGCTTAATGACATGGCAGAATAGAATAGCTTTAGATATGCTTTTGGCTGAGCGGGATGGAGTTTGTGTTCTGTTTGGATCTATGTGCTGTACTTTCATCCCCAACAATACAGCACCGGACGGGTCCGTGACCAAAGCGCTTCAGGGACTCACCACGCTGGCGAACGAACTGGCTGAGAACTCTGGTATTGATAGCTCCCTAAACGATGGTGAGATACGGCCCAATCCCGGACTCCGACCTAAGGAATGAAGGATATGACCTACCAGGCTTGGTGGAGGACGACGACGATCCAGATAATTTGAGACTGGATGTTTTCCTAGAACTATAAATCTCTAGTTTAAAAGTTATTGTAATGATCTTTTGTGTATTAAAGTCTCATTTTAAGTATGATGTACTAGTTACCATTGCTAAAAAGTAACGTTATGCTTTTAATCATGGGGTAACCCTGATGAACCTGTAATGTTTTAATATGCAAACCAACTTATGTACTTCAATGAGTGTGATTCATTTCTATAACAACATATATTTTGTATGTGTGTAATATTTAGTCAAAGGGTGGAATTGATAGATGAATTATTAATGACTAATTATTACACCCTGAAACTGTGTATAATGTGTTAGAAATGTGTGAGTGTAGGACCAGTAAAGGCTATGGCATTGAGCCACTATTTAGCAATGTGAGTAAGAGTTAGGCCAAACAACAAAGACAACTGAGAAACTAAGATAAAGAGGCATCCCAATTTAGGGAATGGGAGAAACTGTTATGAAAACATGGTGCAGAATATTGTGAGAACGGCAATAACTGAGTAAAGCAGGGAGTATGATATGTGTGTGTGTGTATGTATGTGTGTATGCATGTGTGTATATGTGTGTGTGTGTGAACTGAAGGTCAGTAGAGCAGTTTTAGAGTGGAAAACTACAGCCCGCCTACAGAGGGAAAGGATTTCTTTTTGTATGAGTATAAAAGATGGACTCTGAAATTGTGATGGCAGAATTCTCAATGAATAAATATCTCTGACTATGCAGACCGGGACTCTGGCCGTTACTTAAATCCCAAAAGACTTACAACCTTTTGGGAGACGCACAGAGACACTAAAATAGTTTGTTAAATAATTCACGTAACAGTTTGTAATTAAGATATTCTGACAACTGAGCAATTTAAAATACAACTATTTAGAAAAAGTGAAAAAAGGAGGAGGACGTTACTTTCACAATGGCAATCTGTACAAACCTCTCCGCCAGCCCATTGGTAGATGGATGATACGGTGCAGACCTGATGTGCTGTACACCATTGACCTGCTATGAGCATCCCCGACCACGAGAAACATTCAAATGGACCTGCGAAGTCGATGTGTATTTGTTGCCACGCCTCCTCCGACCAATCCCACAGATGAAGAGGTGCAAGTTGAGGTAAGTTGCGAACCTTCTGACATGAGGAACATGTTTTCACTTTCTCCTCAATACTTCCATCCAATCCAGGCCACCAGAAGTAGCTTCGTGCGATTTCCTTCATGCAAACCATTACACAATGACCTGAGTGTAGCTATTATACACTGGTTTCCTCAGCGAAGGCAGAATGATCACTCTCCTCCCCCACAGCAGACAACCGGACTGTACTGACAGCTCAGTTCTCATGGAAAGGTAAGGTTTCAGTTCCTGCGGCTCCACCTTTGATGATAATGTCCATCACTTCAGATAACACTGTTTCTGGTGTTTCTCCGCACTTGTGTTGAAGTGACTGGTGCATTTTCCACTCGTCTGAAGTAGAAGATGTCCACTTGGTGTGACTCTGGCTTGACCACAGCTAGTGGTAACCTGGAAAGTCCATCTGCGTTGCGGTGCATTTCTGACTTGCGGTACTTGATGTCGTAGGTGTGTGCTGACAACAACAAAGCTCACCTTTGCATTCTGCTTGCAGCAAGTGACAGAATCCCAGTATGCGGTCCAAAGATGCTCGTCAGTGGACGATGATCTGTAAGAAGGGTGAACTTCCTCCTGTACAGATACTGGTGAAACCTGCGCACTCCAAAAACAATGCCTACGGCATCTCGTTCTATCTGTGCATAGTTACTTTCTGCTTATTTCAATGTCCTCGATGCGAAAGCGATCGGCTTCTCTTCACTGGAAGGCATGATATGGGGCACGACTGCTCCCACACCATATGGACTAGCATCACAAGCTAGCTGGATGGGCAATGACGGGTCAAAGTGTGTCAATGCCTCAGATTTCAGGAGTATTTCCTTGGTTTTCACGAATGCGTCCTTGCATTGTTCAGTCCATTTCCATATTTTGTCCTGACAAAGCAACTGGAAAAACCGCATGAATTTCACGTGAACACATGTGAAGTGTTCCAAAAACGCGTTTTCATGTGATCATATGTGATATTTCAAGCGAAAATATTGTGATTTTCCATATGTGAAATCATGTGGTTTTTCTGTAAAGGCATGCAGCGGCTTCAGCTTCATTGCTAAGCTCGGAATAAAGCGTCCATAGTAATTCAGTAACCCCAGGAAAGAACGTAGTTGGCTCACGTTCTGATAGCCTTGATCTTTGACAGAGCCTTTTGCAGGCCCGTGGCGTCGATGACGTGTCCGAGGTATTCAACCTATGGTTGGAAGAATGCACATTTGTCCTTACAAACTCGCAGTACGTAGTCCTTCAATCTCTGTTAGGTCGCATCCAAGTTCTGGAGATGGGCCTCTTCATCTTTCCTAGTAATGAGGATGTCATCCAGGTAATATTGTACTCTTGACAATCCACTCAAGATCTGGTCCATCGCTCTCTGGAACAGCGCTGGCGCACTTGTGATTAGACAACAGTACCTGAAGAGCCCCTTGTGTGTCACGACGGTCAGCAGCTCCTTTGACTTTTCATCAACGTGCATCTGCAAGTAGGCTTGGCAGAGGTCCATTTTGCTGAACTTTTGACCCCCGGCTAAGCCCGCGAAAAGGTTGTCGACGTGTGGTAGCGGATGTTGCTCATTGCTCAGGGGGACAACACAAGGTTAACTGTGTTAAAGTCTCCACATATCCTGATTCCACCACCCTTCTTTACTGCAGGCTAATCGCACACTGTGCACTGCTATTGCACTTGCTGCCCAATTGGAATGTGGCCAAGCGCACATTCAGTCCATTAATAATCCACTGCCAGTACAGGCGATGAAAGATAAGCCCCAAAAGAACTATAAACAGAGATACAAGGCCCATGCCAACTCCAGTCTACCTGATGATAGAGGAAAGTCAGGTCGTTGCTGTTACAGGTGTGGCTCTACTACTCACTTAGCTAATGCTACAGACTGCCCAGCCGCCAAGGCCAAATACAAGGCCTGTGACAAAACCGGTCATTATGCACGGGTGTGCCGTGCTGATAAAAAAAAGCAAATGTACAAGAGGTCGAGGTACCAGAGCTTACAGTATTATACATACAAGACCAAGATGTGAGCAGAGAGAAAATACATTGCACAGTCTCTGTCGGTACCCCTGAGGTTGCTCCTCACCTCATTGAACTGTTAGTTGATACGGGGTCCCCAGTCTCTATCCTGCCCCAGCATTTATATATACACTTCTTTGATAAACGGCCCCTGGTTACCTACTCTAAACAAGACTTACCGGTGTTAGGGTGCCTCTCCGCTGATGTCCAACATGATACAGTTACTACTACAGTCTCATTCTTCAATGTGGAAAAATGAACGGCTTTGCTAGGCATGGACATGAGTACTGCCCTGAATCTACACATTGCTGGGAATACTGTCCTATCTTCTCCCCCACCGGTGCTGTCCTCTCCTCCACCTGTTAAGGTACAGCACCTGGCAACCACCAGCGGGCTGAAGTTAGGGTGTGCTAAAGGGTTCATTCACCGCCTAAAAGTCAAAGATTATGTTACTTATGTACAACAAAAACTAAGTTGACCTCCACTTTCTGTTAAAAAAACATTATTTGCTGACCTGGTTCACTTACAAAACTCAGATGTCCTTGAGAAAATCGATGCCTCCCCGTGGGTTTCACCCATAGTGGTTACCAAAACGAAAACTGGAGATCTGCATGTGTGTGGATTTGCGCAAGCCTCGAGAAAGTCAAGCAGCTGATTGTTAATAGCTCTGCCTAATAATCGACCCTGCTCTCCCTACCCTGGTGTCTACAGACATATCAGATTATGGCTTTGGTGGTGTGTTTACGCAAACACATCCAGATGGAACCGAACGCACAGTGGCTCTCCTCAGCCAAGCGCAAATACTGTATAGTAGAAAAGGAAGTGCTTGCCTGTGTGTGGTCGGTTGAGCGGTGGCAAACGTTCCTGTGGGGCACACGTTTTACACTAAGAACTGATCATCAGGCCCTTACTACCCTACTGGCATCAAAAAGGGCCAGTCGCGCATTGCGAGATGGTCCGCTCGCTTACAGTGTTTCACATATGACATTATGTAAAAGCCCCGGATCAGTAAACTACATTGCTTGATTGCCTGTCGCTACTGCCCATCCTTAGATAAAAATGCTGTCCCCATCACTGGACCTGAGTTAGTGGCCCTGCTATCCACTGAGCTTAACGCACTGTCAGTGGCAGGGCAGCCGCCTATGGCGCCACTTGAATTTGGGGCGGCATTTTGACAATTGGCTGCCGCCCTCCGGCGCCCCTGATCGGCTGCTACACCGCCGACGGCACCCCAGCCACCAGCTCATAGTGTTGCTGCAGTTCCCGCCCCCACCCCATTCCCACTTCTCCCGAAGTTCACTCCCACTATCCTTGGTAGCTATGGTGATGTGAGTGTTTATATGGGATTATCCAATTGTGAAACATTAATAAAAATGAATCTGCCAATTAAATGATTGTTTTGTTTTTTATGAATGTGTATGACAAAGACGATTAGTGATTAAAGCAGTAGCCTAACCTAGCCTGTTAATGTTAGCTAGCTACTACTAGTGGATATAATATTAGCTAAAAGTAAGCTATAGAGATTTGAAACAATTTGCTACCATGTCTAAGAGACAAAAACTATCAGGAAGAGAATATTTTAAAAAATGAGTGACAAAAGAGGCACAGTCTCTAAACCAAAGAAATGTGCTGCTGAAATTTATCAGCGTGCAGCAATGTCCATCAGCCGGTGTGGAGAATGACAAGCCTCCGAGGACAGGCCAGTTGTTCGCCGAGAACAAAGAGCCCCCGTTCGCTGATTCTAGCAGCAAAGAGGGCAAACCGGAGGAGTCCGAGCCATGCACTTCCACTGATGATGACAGCTCTCTGGCTGGACAAGAACAGGTGGTTGCACCAGGCCTAGCCACACCTCCAAACAATGCCGGCGAAGACCCTACTATCTTGGACCCAGACTCAGATTCGTCGCTCCCCGTCCCCGATGACAGTGGTGGTGCTGCTGCTAAATCCAACTCCCAGACAAAAAACATAAAAGATCCCGGTGAGTGGCCAAAATATATGAATGGCTCTTTACGGGATACAATAGGAGGATGGCAAACGGGGAGAGAGTGGAGAGACCATGGCTTGTCTATTCCAAGCAAAACAATGCAGCCTTCTGTTTTTGCTGCAAACTTTTTTCACACGAGTGCAAATCTGCGCTGGTCAGGGATGGAACCAGGGACTGGAAGAATCTGTGCCTCCTCAGCTCGCATGAGAAGTCGCATGACCACCTAGATAGTTTCATATAATTTTATTATATTATGCCATTTAGCAGACGCTTTTTATCCAAAGCGACTTACAGTCATGTGTGCATACATTTATTTTTTTGTGTATGGGTGGTCCCGGGGATCGAACCCACTACCTTAGCGTTACAAGCGCCGTGCTCTACCAGCTGAGCTACAGAGGACCAAAGGTGGAAGGAGCTGGAGATCAGGCTGGTGTCCAAGCAAACTATCGATGCCCAACGGGCTATTGACGGAGAGACTCTCCACTGGCAGCAGGTGCTGCAGAGGCTCATAGCCCTGATACGCATAATTGCCACCCAGAACATTGCGTTACGTGGGACCACCGATAGGCTGAACGAGCCAAATAATGGGAACTTTCTGAAGTTTGTGGAAATGCTGGGTATCTTTGATAGAATCATGAAGGAGCATGTAAGGAGAGTACAGTCCAAAGAAACACGTGCACTACCTCGGTTAAAGAATCCAGAACGAAATCATTGACATGCTGGCACAAGAGATCCAGCAGCAGGGGCGGTGTGTTCAATAGGGCGATATGGGCGACGCACTGCCAAACGGGAAAAGGAAGGGATTTTTTTTCTAATCAATTATATCAAGGCAACAGTAGTTATCAGTGTTGTAATCTAGACGTCTGACCTGCCACAGTGCCACTAAATGTCCAATCAGGCTAAAGTCGTGCTTCAAATGGCCCCCCCCCCCTTTTGGGGCGATTTCAGTCAGGTTGAAAATCGCCCAGAAGTCTGTCATAGACTCCCATGTAAAATCTATTTTTTTCAAATATCAGAGCTTTCAATACAATCTCTATGGGTTTCTGAGGGCTTGCACTTACGCGCTTTCGTCATACGTAACATAACCATGAACGTAACTAAGAAAAGAGCGGGTAGCCTCATCAATCAATTCACTACTACTATCAAAATGGCTAGGCTTCAGTGCAACTCGATTGTGTCTTTGAAAGAAGTTCCTTTTTGTCGGCGAACAAATGAAGATAAATTGGCAACGAAACAATTAGGACCTCCCAGACCAAATTTAATAATTCAACAGGTTTCTACTAAAGGGGGGAAGTCCTACACCCGAGGATTTTCCAAAAATTGGTACGAACGAAAAACCTGGCTAGCAGGCTGCGATGTAGCTAATGCAGTCTTCTGCTACCCCCTGCTTACTCTTTCACCCTGAAGGCGGCACGGCAGACAGCACCGCTTGGACAGCGACTGGTGTGTAACGGACATGCACCATCTTTCAGGAAAGATTAAGAAACATGAGCTGTCAAAGACCCACATGGATAGCTGTTTGAGATTGTCTGCTTTGGGGAGAGTGAACATTCCCACTCAACTGGATGAGGGATACAGGCTAGCTGTCCGCCGCCACAACGATGAGGTTAGTGTTGATAATCACAAGTTTACTGGAGAACTGAAACTGACAAGGCTGACAAGATAGGACCCTTTTGTCCATTGTTATTGGATAGGAACAGAACTTATAACCAGCTCCTGACCTAAATAGATCTTAGCACAACATTTTACTCAACATATCATATTCCATATTCACTATAACAAATATATTTACTACGACATTAGCAAGAACCGCCACATCCTCAGCCGGCTAATCCAGTGTGTGAAGTTTTGCGGAGTGTTTGAGTTAGCTTTGCGAGGCAAAGATGAAACTGAGGGCTCCACCAACCCTGGTAAGCCAACACTTTTGAGATCAGTCAATAAATGCTTCTGGTATTGACTTATATGCTGCCCCTGTCTTCATGTTGTTGCTGGACATATCTTTTTTAAAATGTGTGTAGGTCACCTAAATCATCAGAAAAATTGCCCCCCCTGAGAATTTTTTCAGGAGCCGCCACTGTCCAGCAGACAGTGTGCAGTGATCTAAAAGCAGCCAAATATGTTTCTATAATTTTGGACTGCACACCAGACAAGAGCAAAACAGAGCAGATGACCATGGTGGTACGTTTTGTTTCAACCGAGGATGATGCGCACGAGAGAGCACTTCCTGGAGTTTAGTGAACTGCTTGACGCAATGGGGGCGGGTATGACCGAGTTGCTCATCTCAAAACGACAGAAATATGGCATCGCCATCATGGACATGAGAGGGCAGGGATATGACAACGGGGTGAATATGCGGGGGAGGCACAGCGGAGTTCAAAAGAGAGTGCAGGATATCAATCCGAGGGCCTTTTTTGTGCCATGCAGCGCGCACTCGCTGAACCTGGTTCTCTCTGATGCAGCATCGTGTTGCTTGGAGGCAGCTGAGTTTTTTAACACCATCCAAGAGATTTATACATTTATACAAGGTTGGAGGCAAACAGCATTGCCGCCAAGATGAACAACTTTGGCTTCATGTGTGCAGTGGTCGTTTGGCATGACATCTTGTTCGAAGTGAACATCACCAGTAAGAGTTTGCAGGCGGTGAGTTTTAACATTTAACTAGCAGTGGAGTACATATCCAGACACCAAATGGCCTCCTTGTATCCCAATGCCTTTGTTGCCCTGAGAGTTCTTCTCACACTCCCGGTGACAGTGGCAAGTGGAGAGCGCACATTCTCCGAGCTCAAACTCATCAAAAACTACCTGCGCTCTACTATGAGTCAAGAGAGACTCAATGGACTCGCCACCATATCAATTGAGCACGAGTTGTCTTACGAAATCAACCTCCAACAAGCAGTGCATGCTTTTGCTGCTAGGAGGGCCAGGCGAGTCAACTTGTCTTTGAATAAAAGGTAAGCGTTGATCATACACTCGCATTCATTTGTAAGATTACTCAATTATCTATCACCTGTTTACTTTTTTTTTTTTTTTTTTTTGATTTAAATAGACTACATCCTAATCTCTCTCTCTCCTCTCTCTGTCTCTCTCGGATGATTTGATTCCAGGACCATGGACAGCTACCGAGAGAAAACATCGCTGACTGCAGAGGAAAGAGGTCACTCTAGGCGGAGACTAAATAAATAAATGCTGAAACTGATGTTGGACAATCAAATTCGCTATGTAAATAAACGAAATTCGTTAAGGCTGGGTCATTGACATAAAGCTTATTTTACACTGCTCCAGCGAAACGAGGCCCGCCATGCATTTAAGAAAGTAGTTGTTTCTAAAGCTCAAATGATCTCACTCTGTTTTACAGTTCTACAGGAATATTAAAATATATGTTAAATATGTTATATAATAGTGTTATTTTTATTGTAATTGTAACAATTATGGGATTGTGCCATGTGGGATAAAAGGTGGCATATTATTAATAAGAAACTTGGTTTCCTACTATAGGTAGTTGGCTGAAAAGTGATAGCAACATTGTAACTCTCCGATGCAGGGGTTAAAGTAAAAATCCCTTCTGCCTGGTAAGGGACCTCCTAAATTATATGTGCTATTCAAAAAAATAAGTGGTAAGTTTGACAGACACAATTATGCTATCCATAGATGTCGGTATAGCCAAATACTCGGTGCCTGGGAAGGGCTTGGTGTGTTTGGTTAAAACCAGGGCTAGAATTGAGTGAGGGTATCACATACCCTTTGTTAAAGAAAAGGGCAAATAGGATATCTATTGTTTGCTTTATATTTTGAAATAAATGCATAAAACGTGTCCAAATTATATCAAGCGTTCTATAAGGATGCTTAACTCGGTAATGCCTTATGGTAGAAACAAGCTCTAAAATGCCCGCGAAAGACATGCCTCCGATGCATATGGGGATATATTGATTCCTCTCTATAACATTCTGAAGCTGAGCTGCAGCCTATAATATTCGAGGAGATAAAAAAAATGGACTTCGCTATTCTATCCCTATTAATTGAGCTTTTCTCTTTCTGAAAAGTGAAGATGTTTGTTTAAACCCAGGCAGCTTTCAGGGAAGCACTTCTGTTGTTGGGTTATACAACGGACGAGTAGCCAGCAGTTGAAGCTTACATTTTTCTGCGTCTTAGATTCATAAGGATGTCTATGATGTAATTAGGCAGCCAGAATTTTGTGCCCTACTTCCCCATTTGAGAGCAACTCTCTGTACAAGACTGTTTCATGTACTGTGGTCCAAACCACCTGCTTGTGCCCATTACACTGTGTCACACACTGATGTCACTCACTGGTGACAGCCACCAAGGAGTTGTCGATACAAAACAACAGAACCATGAGCTCTACTGGTGGCCTGGAATGGACACTTCCTTACAAACTACAGTATCAACATGTCAACTCTGTCAGACAAATGGCAAAACTGTAGTGCTGAGCGATTACCACACTTTTTTTTTGGGGGGGGGGGGGGGGGGGGGGTGTTATTAAACAACTAATTGACCGACGTCGGTTCAATTACTTGAATTCCATTTTCTTCATTTTATTGTAAGCCCAACGCGCCGTTTCTCTAGAGAGAAATCAAATAATTCACGTGAGAAATCGGAGAAGTCAAGTCAAGAACTATGTGGGACGCTGGGCTGAAGGGAGTTGTAGGTTTCATTAAGCAAATATTCAATCTAGTTCAAAGGAGAAACGTGGTATTAACTACAATGACCATAATCCATTGCACCAGTTTTTTTTCGGTTGATACAAACAGATCAGAGAGGAAGAGGAGAAGCGAGAGGTTTCACTTTCGCCAAAAACGATCTAAAATAACCCAATGCGTTTGGCGTAAACATGAGCATCTTGTCATTATGTACTGATCTCTGGACGGATACACTTTTACGACTACTACGTTAGGTTAGATACACACAGACTGCATAAACCGCATGAGAGAGGAATGTACAGACGAGAGGGACAGAGACAGTTCGTGAAAGTAAGCCTTATCTACTTTGAAGAACTAGTGAAATGATTTAGTTAGCATAATAGGAATGCTAGCCAAATAGGATGGCTAAAGACAGTACAATATGGGGAGCACATAAAGTTATATGGCTTGGCTGTCTGACAGCCTGAGCAGAGATGAGATGATTACTTCAAGGAATAAAAAATAATAAAGTCATCAAATAAAAACTAAGTAATATACACAGCCGAAATATTTTATTATTTCATAGTAATTTCCTATGTTTCTATTGATGTCTACCCAATGTGGACCTGACAGAGACAATTTAATATTATCAATGTTTTGGCAATTGAATGCTCGTTATTTTAGCCTTTGGAATATCCATTAAAAAGCTCTAAAATCATTGTAATGTCATTATTTCATAATGCATTTCATGTTTTAAAAAATGATTGAACCGAAAACCGTGATTATTTTTTAATAATCCAACTGAAAATTAACCAATCTCAAAAAACACTCATCACTACAAAACTGCAAAGACACACGTCGAGCCACTCCTGCCTGTC